GTTGACAACTATACTCATAATCGATTAGTTGGTTGCAGCCCTAGATCTTTGGACCAGCTCAATGAAGCAGACAAGATCAGTGCCCTGATAAACAACATTTTATAATTATAGTGGCTTATTTACATTTTAAGGGCCTGCTCCTGCCAAAACGGCACCAAAAACGCAAACGCACATGCGTCTACAATTTTCTGGGGGCGGGCACTGCACCGAAATTAAATTTTCAGACCAAAACTGAAATGAAAACATTTGTCAGGCTAAAACTGACACTTTTCCAACCTTTGTAATAGTGTTTTAAGTTACATTTTACTGCCGAGGGGGGATAAATATTGGGGTCTAAAAAGAACCCTGATGATTCCCTTTTAAAATACAAAGTGATTGAGGACACAGAGTCCTCAATCTTTTTCTGCAGCCCCTGTTATAAATGAACAGAAAGCCTCTACACTGAGCTGCTCCTGTCCATTCATAAACTGTGGATATAGTATCAGTTAATGCCTGCAATCATGAATGAACAGGAAGTGATGTATAACACTTCCTGTTCATTTATAACTGGGGACACAGTAAGCTTACTATGTCCTCAGCTATTTACAAACACTGAATGATTAGTACTGATCGCCGAGTACATAACATGTAGTTGTACTATGGATCATTTAACCACTTGCCGTCCGCCCGTTGTAAAAAAACGGACGGACGGCACGGCAGCATTGGCGGGTTGCCAAAAATAAAAGTAACATAAAAAAGGTAAAATAAAAGTCACATATAAAAAAAAAACAACCCAAAATGTTTAACTCCCCCACCCCCATGTTTACGCACCTATAAACGTAAATACGCGCCCGGTGCCCCAGCGCGCAAAAACGACAATTGCGCTACACATGTTACATATCGCCGCGAACGTCGCAGTGAGAGCAATCATTTTAGGGCCATCAATCACTGATAACAGTAACAGCTTTTAAAGCGTCGCCTATGGCCAATTTTGGGTATTATTGTTTTTTGAGGTTTTGCGCGCGCACGCAATTTTAAGGCTTGACATGTTTGGTGTCTTTTTACCCGACGTGACCCCGTCTTTTATATTCTACAACTGACGAACGGGCCGATGTGCGCACGCGCACACTGCCCGTTTGCAAGCCCGCCCCTCAAGGGGGCGGGCTTGCGATGATCGCAAGTACGATCTGCCTGTCCAAGATGGGCAGATCGTACGTTTTTTTTAAGTACTTTACAACCATCGCATGACTAAGGTCTTGCGATGGTTGTAAAGTGTATGGCCACCTTTAGAGTCAGGTAGGTGCCAAAGTGACTGCAGATGCCTCTGCAATCCAGGATAAGTGTATGTATAACGTCACTCGCACTCCAATAGAATTCCAAGTCAAAAACGGCTTATTGATTCGATTGCTATCACATCATATAGCGACGTTTCGGAACAACAGAAGTTCCTACTTCAGGCAAACAGAATGTTTTGACTTGGAATTCTATTGGAGTACGAGTGACTTTATACATACACTTATCTTACAAACCCATCAAAACCCAGCGTGGGAATGGGCCCTAAATTGTTATTTATTCACATTTTAGAGTTTTACTACACAAAACACAAAGATGTTTTTTGCAGCCATATGACTTCAATTTTCATAACTCCTAGGACCTCGCTGAAATCTCAATTTTAAAATAAATGTACTTTTTCTAATGTGTTAGGGTTAAACACGTCACAATCTGACCACACAACCAACTTTAGATTAACCAAAACTATGTAATATGGAGGAGATAAAGAGCAGCAAGTGTGTGAAAAACAAATCAGTTTTTTCACATAATGCTAACAATCGTACGTCCCCTAGTGGACCCTGGATTTTTTACCCACAATATAGGGAGCAACCACCCAACACTCAGCATTGAGACAGTCATTCCTATGTCATACAGTCACCACTCCTGTGTTCACTAGCACCCTCACCAATGTAAGTTATTTTTCTCCTCACTTAGGGCTCATGTACACGGGTGTATAAAAATACTCCCATCTATGTCACAAAGAAAAGCTGGAAGGTCAATTGGCTCCGGTCTAAAAATTGGCCCTGTATGCGTGCGAGATGGGGACCTTAGATTGTAAGCTCCTTGAGGATAGGAACTGATGTGAATGTAAAGCACTGCGTAAACTGTCGGCGCTATATAAATACTTGGAATAAACAAATCTATGCTGGATTTTTCTAGAAGGAATTGTCAGAACAATCCAGTGTAAAAATATGTTTTTTTTTGCATAATTATGCATGTTTATGTGTAAATTAACTCGGAACTAGAATATTCATTTATCCTAGCCACTAGAATGAACTTCCGTGCATACATGTGTGTAAAGTATGCCAGTGAGCGCCTTTACGAACACAGGTTTAGGTATTTTATTTTTATGGCTGCTGCTTTAAAATAGGAATCTAAAAGCCCCAATGGCTAAACCACATTTAGAAGTTCATAAATAAAAACCCTCAAAAAGTGGCATTTTTTTCTACTCATGTGCATGAGGCCTTATAGTTTAAGGCCTGGTTCACACCTGAGCGTTTTACATCGCGTTCCTACGCTCTGTAAAACGCTCAACATGTCAAAACCAATGATTGCCTATGGCCATGGTTCCCACCTGGGCGTTTTACAGCGAGTAGGAACACGCTGCAAAACGCCCAAAGAAGTACAGGAGCTTCTTTGGGGCGTATTTGCCGCGCATATCCATTGGGATACAGCCAGGTAGCCCTCGGAAACGCGTGTTTGTCTTACAGCGGATCGCGGTAAAAACACGCGCCACGAAACGCGCATATTCGTGAACCCAGCCTAATAAAGGGACAAAATGTAACTAAAAAGGGATCTCTCATGTGTGCAAGACCTTTAATGCCTATAACCCTAGTACCGAATAGCGATGGGGTCCACCCAATTTCCACAAATTGAAACAAAAACAATAATAAAAAGAAACCATTATAAAAAGGGAACCCTGTACCAGCTCTATACTAAACTTCTTTATTACCAGGTTTATTAAATGCATAAATGTGACAATTATCTAAATAGATATTGAATAACATGTCACATTCACGTATTTAAGGTAGTATTACATTCAAACTGACACTTTTTTTTCCAATAATGAGTCCAGATGAAAGATTGCTCAGCAAAGTATTTCTTTACATTTTTGCCCAAGCACTTAGTTATGTTTCCAAACAGCTCTAACTCTTTCAGCTCAGCTTCCCTAAACTTCCTGTCCACTACAAGATAACAAGAGACAGAGCAGACTCCAGCAACTGTTCATCTACTTGCTTGGAGAAGGGGGAAAGTAGAAGTGGAGAAAAAGGGGGGGAGTGAAAGGACCAGCTGATTCTGCAGGAAACAAACGTAAATATAATATCAAGGAGTGACATCAATTGTAAGAGATTTCATCAGCAATTGAAATTAAAAACATTTTGACTTGAATAAACCAGGTAATAATGAAGTTTACTATAGAGCTAGTCCAGGGTTTCCTTTATCATTCTTCCTCTTTTAGCTTACAGTCTAATACGGGTCTCAAATAAGGGTAATAGGTGTTCTCTCTATTCTTCTGTCACTGAGTGTGTATTGACTAGAAACACCACTAGCATCAGAAATATGTAATACACTAAATTCCCATTATCCGGCATTCAAGCAACCGGCCAGGAAAAAAAAAACTAGGAGGCTTGATGCACACTAAAAAAAAAAAATACTAAATGTATTTAATTGCGAATTAAATTCTTTGTTTACATCTTGCTGCCGGCGGCTGCAGAAAGTAAAACAGGGAGCAATAGCCAGCCTGCTATTGGCTATTTCAAATTGCAACAGCCAATAAATAGCAGGGTGGCTATTGAAATCCCACCCACTGAGCAGAGGAGTGGACCCCAGAGAACTTTCCCTGGGGTCCTCTCCTCAGTGGGTGGGGTTTAAATAGCCACCCTGCTATTGCAATTTGAATTAGCCAATAGCAGGCTGGCTATTGCACCCAACAGGTGAAAGGGCCATTGGGTTATCCAGCACCTACAGCATGGATAACTGGAAATTTACTGTATAAGGACCTACCTAAACTATCCCATCAGACAATTCCGCAGCCCTACATTCAGGGGAGATTACAAAATACTGGAGCGGGCAGAAGTGCATGGCAACCAATCAGCTTCTAGCTTTCATTTCCAAAGTTTAACTGAATGACCTGAAGAAAGAAGCTGATTGGTTACCATGTAGAGCTGCTCCAGTAAAAAAAAAAATCTACAGATTATACAACCAGATTGTAACATGAGGTGAGCATTAGAATATAATAATGGACAGGTCAGAGAAAAGACTGCGCTGAAGCCCTCTACAGACTGACCGGCCATTATGAGGAGAGACATTACTGGGGTCTTACTTCGCCATAGCCAGCAGTTGAGATTTGCCCAGCACAAAGCGGCCCACATAAAGAAGGATAAAGCAGCCGGAGCCCGCCATAATCCGCAGCCGGCAGAGAGTACACGGAGGGGGGGAGGGGCGCACTCGGCAATAATGAAGGAGAAATCCATTTCACACACATCCCTGCACTGTCTATAGTACACGGGATAAAAAGCCGCAATCCCCCGCCTCATATAAACATTGACAGAATCGGATTTACACGTCCGTGGAGCACAAGGAGATTTCACAACGATCGTTGTATAAATGGCGGCCGGAGACACGTATCAGCCGCGCTCTACGGGCCCCAGTGAAAGAGCCTTTGTTCTGCGGCGCGCACCCCCCACGTCCCGTTATGCGGCCGCTTCCAGCTCAGACTGTGCGAGATGAACGTGAGGCCGGAGGAGTCCTGTGTGTGAGCCGGGGAAGGAGGAGGATGTGGAGGGAGGAGGAGGTGGTAGTGGTGGTGGTGAAGGGGGGGGCGATGCTTGCTCCCGGGTGTCCCCGCTTCCCGGGGAGGGGAGAGGAGGGAGGCGGCTGCTTCTCTCCGTAACAGAGGGAGGGGGGGACTCCGGCGCCGCTTATCCCGAACGGATTTCGATACATATTATCGTGATTTTCTCCCTTACCTGGAATAAGAAAGCGGTCCAGTTGGCCTCCCTAAAAAAAGGAAAAAGGGGGGGGGGAGGAAAAAAAAACCCACAGCGCAGGATCCTACATGAAACCTACAACAAAGCAGCTGAAAACATGGCAGCGCCGCACAACTTCCGGTAACCTCTGGGAGAGACCATTCGGGAGGGGGATGGGGAGCCAGATAGTGCGGCTTCTGCGCCCCCGGTCATTGGTGAAGGAGGGGGGAGGGGAGATGGAAGGCAAGTCTGTCTTCTTCCCTCCCGCCTTCGTAGCCGAATACCAGACAAGTGTCAATGTGTGGAGTAAATAAAGGTCCCTGGTGAGAGCTGTGTTTAATATGCCCGAGGCTTCTGGCTGCTTGGAGGTCTCAGACGGAGGATGTGCTAAAATGGCCACTGCGGCTCCGTGTTATGTGAGGTAGCGGAATTACCTCACGCACAGCTGAGGAGGCCTCCCAGACAAAAGCTGCACGTCTGGCCCGCGTGTCTTTTCCATTATTATGATGCCATTTTCTGGCCGCCCATTGTCTTAATGGGATCCCCGCCTTCTCCTCCTCCCCGCCATGTCGTGCCCTGCGGGGAGCTTTTACTCACCCGAGCCGGCTGCGGGTTATGGTAAATAGGCGGAAGGGAAAGTGAGGAGGAGACGGCATAGAATCCTTCAATGAATGTAGCGATGTTTGTGACTAGACCTGATGTAGGATAAGAAATGTCAAATGTGCCAATAAGACTGATCATGGCTTCTATTGTCGGAGGAGCAGAAGCAGCACCAGCGTTGGACAGCAAAACCCGACATTTTTTTAGATGAGTTCCATCATAACAGGGAATTGACAAAAGATAATATTTACATCGCAAAGCTGACGTATTTTTTTTGCGCGTCAAATTAATAATGTTATAAGGCAAGTTCTATGTGGATTTGAAAACTTAGATGTAAGTGAGGAGTAGGATTGGCATCTTTTCTTCAAGCGAAACCCGAACACTATAGTGACGTGCAGACATTATTTTGGGAGCATGAGTCGTGGCTTATTAATATGTAAATAGCGCCACCCATTCATATGTAAATATCACAGTTGAGACTATTTTCAGTGGGGGGGCCAGTAGCCCCTATCTTTTTTTATGGTTGTCCCTGTCTGCCTGACATCTTGTGTCCGGGTTGCTGCTGCCATGAAACCCAGACACAGCATTCAAAACCCGGGTGAATCCTGGACAAGTGACTCCTAGTGAGCAGCACAGCAATTTCCTTTGGTCCGTCTAGTGGTGGCGATGCCATGCAAATGGAATTCTCCCAGGTGGTGGCTGGGTGGAAGAGTTCTAACTACACACACAAGGTTCCAATGCAAGAGAGCATGCGTTCTTGCATTATGCAATACTGCGTCACACAATATTGCATGCTGCACTGTTAGGTGCTCTGCAGTGTCTTTGTTTCTTAATGGTATCATGCTTGGTAACTTACTACCATGCATGGTGGTGCAATGCAATTTTTTTTAAAAAGGTTAATGCGCATGTAAAATCTACACCATTACCAGAGTGGTAGTGAGGAGGGAAAACAGCAATGATCAGTACTGCAGCGAGTAGAGTATGGACAGTGCAGCAATGAAGGAAAGAAAGGAGAACATTTAGGATGATCCGAGCAGAACATTACCTTCAATTGGCATCCAAATTTGGTGCATGCTGGAGTAAGTGCACTTGAACCTGGTGCACCACCACCATGCAAGAAACTAACAGATTGGCATTCATCACCTTTACTTGCCACAGGAAGCTGTAATTAACCACTTGAAGACCGCGGTGTTTCACCCCCTTCCTGGCCAGGCCATTTTTCAGTATTCAGCGCTGCGGTACTTTGGCTGACGTTTATTCGGTACTTTGGCTGACGTTATGCAGCGCTGTACTGAAATTAATTTTATACCACTTTTGGGGACAGATAGATCTTTATTTTGGTGGTATTTAATCACCGCTGGGGTTTTTATTTTTTACTATATAACAAAAAAAAGTACCCTAAATTTTGTAAAAAAAACATGTTTCCCTATAAAATGTTATGAAACATTTATTTTCACCCCAATTTTTTGGTATACTATAAAAGACGGGGTCACGTCGGGTAAATAGACACTAAATATGTCAACCTTTAAAATTGCCCGCGAAATCGCAGAAAACGACCGCAACCAAAATTGGCCATAGGCGACACTTTAAACGTTTTTACCGCTCATCAGTTTAGTGTTATCAGTGATTGATGGCCCTAAAATTATTGCTCTCACTCCGACGTTCGTGGCGATATGTAACGTGCTGCATAATAGGCGCAATCGTCGTTTTCGTACATAGGCGCACCCGACGCATGTTTGCATATGTATGTGGGGGGGGCGGGGGACTTACAACATTTATTTTTTTTTTAATTATTATTTGTGAATATTTTTTTTAGCTTTATTTTTTTTTAATGCTGTCATTTTTTATTTTTTTTTACTTTTTTTAGACAACTTTATTGCTATAACATAGGGGATTAAGAAATCCCCTATGTAATAGCCAGTTCACCAAACAGGTCCTCTTTATGGAGACATCAGGGGTCTCCAAGACCTCTGATGTCACCTAGGGACCCCCACAGAAGCTGATGAAGCAGAGATCTGCTTCATCAGCTTTTCTCCGGTGTTCTGCACCGGAGAGTGACACTGAATGCAGGAAGTGATGTAATATACATGACTTCCTGCATTCGGGGACAGGAAGAGAGATCAAAGGCAAATCGAGTAATGATCTCCCTTTCATCTGCTGTTAGAGCGTCGCCGTGCCGGTCCCAGCCGCACCGGCCACATTGGATCACGGACCGGCAGCGGCGACGAGGAGACGGCGGGACAGAGGTACGTGGGGGTGGGGAGGCCGCACACCCGCAGCTCCTGCAAGCGATCAGGCGTCTCTAGAGACGCCTGATCGCTTGTATGTAAACAGCCATCGCTGACTGTTTACATGCTCACAGTTTCCCCTAAACGTGTGCGCGCTGAGTGCCGCACACGAGAGGGGAGGGGCAGGACATCTTAAGACGCCCTCCCACTCCTAGCAGACGTCCGGCCGTTCACAAACGGCCATGGACGGAAGGTGGTTAAGCAGGCATATTTTGGGGCATGTGCCAATCTTTGCAACTGCCCCTCATCATTTCCACGCACATGTAGCGGAATAACGGCGCTTCATAGGAAACAGTTTGTAAATCAAGATTACACAGACATTAAAAAGAAATGTGTGTTAAGACACATGCATCAAATGTATTACATTGAAGCATAATTAGGAGGCATTTGTAAAGGACTGTCAATTTTGTATGAACTTTGAAAGAGTAATCTTAGAACATTCGATAAAGCTTTTAGAGAGAGTTGACGAAACTCATTCAAAATTTCATTTGATTTCAACATTCGATGTTAGAATGGAAAGCACATCCACCTCTAGAATTTTGTGTTAAAAAAAATATCCCGCTCCTTAAATTGTTTTCATCACTGAGGTTGAGCGCGGATTTGGCCCCATTAACTATTAGAAAATCGAGTGAACTTTTTGATTTAAAAAAAAAAAGATTTTGAATGAAAATTCAAACTGTGTATACCCAGTTTAAGGCTTTTGGAAGGGAATTCATTAAAAGCAAAAGTTCCTTAAAGCGACATTAAACCCTCAGATTTTTTAACATAAACCAATACTGTAATGTGTGCCTTACTGTAATCCATGGTTGTTTCCCTTCTCTTTGCTGCTCTTCCTTTTAAATCCTCATGTCTTCTCATGCTGGGGGAGAACCTTTGCAGCTGAGTGCCTCTTCCTGTAGTGCTGGCTCAGGTTGCAAACCTACACACAGACACCATGTATCCATTTCAGAGACAAGGCAGTCTGCTGCAAAACAGAAGTTCTGCCAAGCATGAGACGAGATACAGATTTAAAAGGAAGAGCAGCAAAGAGAAGGGAAACAACCATGGATTACAGTAAGGCACATATTACAGTATTGGTTTATGTTAAAAAATCTGAGGGTTTAATGTCACTTTAAATGCCTAAGGTTTGTTTGGGGGCATGCTTTTATTGACTTGAATTGAGGGAAGATGCAAGTTGAGACCATTTGCCACATATTGATGTTGAGATCAAAAACCATGCAACTGTGAGTACATAGAGAGCTTAGGACTATTGTTCCTAATTTTAAAGAACACCTTACTGACCTGAAGGGTACCATCTGATTGGTGTAAAGCAAATGTACCGTATTTGCCTGCGTATAAGACGGGTTTTGAGACCTTAAAACATCCCCCGAAAATCGGGATTCGTCTTATACGCCGGGTACATACGGAAGGATACGGTATACTGTATGTAGCTTCAGCTACATACAGTATACCGCGCTGAGTCAATCATGGCAGGCTTTGTATTAATGAATACAAAGTTGTGGTGATTGGCTCAGCGCTGAGCCAATCACGGCAGGCTATTAATGAATACAAGGCCTGTATTCATTATTAGAAAGCCTGCCGTGATTGCCTCAGCGGTAGACGTAGGACACAGCAGGGATCGTGGACAAGGTAAGAGACTGTAATCACGAATGTGGCGCGGGGTTACCACTTATGGTACTGAAAATTAACCCCGAGCCACACTCGGGAATACCGCCATGGATGTTAGTGGGTGCATTTAAACATTATTTTGGGCTATACTCGTGTTATACGACAAGTATAGCCCAAAACCTATATTTTAACACAAAAAGTAGGGGGTCGTCTATGCCGGCAAATACGGTAGTACCAATACACAAAGATGTCATCCAGGAAACTACAGACAAGTCAGCCTAACATCAATAGTACTTCAAAGTATTTGAGGGAATGGCAAGGGACCTATATCCAAAATTTTGGCTGTGGAAATGGTATCTTAACCTCTTGCCGTCCGCCCGTAGTAAAAAAACGGACGGACGGCACTGCTGCATCTGCGGGTTGCCGTCTCCAGACGGCAATTTTTTTCTGCTCGCGCGCAACCAACATAAATTTATGAAAGACTGTTCTTGTTCTATCATGAAGTCAGTAGCAAACTAGAGGGAGGAAAGCCAGTGGACATATTTTGTCTATTTTGCTAAAGCATTCAACACAATACCCCATAAACGTTTTATTTACAAATTACAGCCGATGGGTGTTGACAAAATGGTATGTATATGGATAGAAAGCTGACTAAAGGATCAGATACAGAGAGTATCAATAAATGGTTTTCCTGCCCAGACCTTGCCTCTTCTCTCTACAATAACTCACTCTCCTCCGGCATGGACAGACTTGCCCGAGTCACCACTCAGAGAATCAGGCCCCGTCCACTATAGCCTTGGCAGAAAGATGGCACTAAAAGACTTAGAAGACATAGTCACGCTCTTGAGCGACTATGTTGTAAATCCAAATCCATGCAAGACGTCATCCTACATAAATCCACCCTCCAAAAATACAATACCTGCCTCCACACAGCCAAACAGACCTACTTCATCACACTCATTAACACCCTTCCAGTCCCCGTCAACTCTTTTCTACCTTTAAC